TCTTCCCCTCCATTTCCTCACACATAATCTTATATCACCTCCCCCTAAACACAGACCATCCCCCCCCCCCACAACTCCACCTGGCACTCCGCCACCATCTACCCAGCTGGCGCCGACACAACACACGACACCCCCTCCCTAATACCCATCCCCCCTTTGCACAGCTGACCACCACCTCGAATGTGTACACGACACCCCCTTCCCCCTCTCCCTCCCACAGGCCCGCAGCAGCCCCCCCCTACCCTACCCAGACGAGTGCCGAGACAGGTGTTCGGAGTCCCCCTCTCCCCCCAAATCCGGCCACGGTCTCTTTCGAAGGTTTTACCCGCATCGATACTACCGGCACTGTGGCGTCAGCGCCAGGGTATGTGGGCCGTTACAAATTTAATATCATCAACGCTCCGGCCGGACAAAATGACAAATATGCGTCGCTGACAGCCTGCAACTTAATATCGACACGTCCATTCCTCCCATGAAGACACGCCATTCACACCGCAAATATGAAACGCAAGAGTAGAGGCAACCCTAGGTAACCTACTCGCGCCGTGGCCTATGGGGCGTCATGAGGCCATGGAACCAAGTCGCAATCGGCCCAGGACCTTAACCCACGGCTGGGGCGGAGGCGCAGACACTCCACTAATAGGCAGAGACGCCTCCTAACAGCAAGGTGGAACCGTGAAAATAAATGTAGAGAATTGGCAACGTCGTGAAGACCCCCGCGACTTGCAGATGCATTAAGTCCACTAACAGCAAAGGAGTGACAGTTACCTGGCAAACTATGCGCACGCCCGCAAAAACACCACGCAGGTTGTAGCCTTGGAACAGCTTGCTGCAAACACGATGCTGGCAATACACGAAGACGCTAAATGGTTTCAGCAACGGAGAGAGGCACGGGGAGGTGGTGGGGGTGGGGGCGGGAGAGAGAGAGGAAGGGAGGGAAAGAGGAAGGGAAGATGGGGGAGGGAGGGAGAGAGGGAGGGAGGTAAGGAGAGAGAATGATAATGAAAGATAGAACTTCACCTACAACTGAATGTTATTTCTCCATACCATGAATACGCATTCATATACGACTTGCCAGCTTAATTACACTTACACACGAATGCATATACACATACCCATACCCATATATACATACCCGCAACAACATACACACACAATTCAATAACTCTACTCGTATAAAACTTCTCGAATATTTTGTGGACGGAAACCTTTTCCAACAGGGATAAGGCGATGGAAATTACATACAGGCAATACTGGAAACAAAAATACCAAGTCACAAACTCTACAGCAGCTTGTTCTCCACGAGGATACACTAGCGAACTGCTTGCCACGGACTCCTTGCTCCACTAGCAGATACTTCGCCAGGGTCACCGCGGGGACAAGCACCACACGGACCCCGAAACGCTGGACCTACAAAGACCTCGGAAAGCAGGCTGCCCCGCACCAAGGAGCCTACCCACCCAACCATATGGCGACGAGGTGGTGGAGCGCCTGCTGCAACAGGTACCCGGGCACTGGGTCACACGGCGCTTCGGGAGGCTGCGGTGGCGGCGATCATAACAGGCTCTTCGGACCACGTCTATTTGCGTTCCCGTCATAGGTCTCGGCCTTGTTGCATTTTCATGAACACGTGCTGGCGGCCTGGACCTTGGCACCTGCATCAGGCGCTCTACTCTTCTTATGGGACTAGGTCAACACGCCTTATTCAAATTCAAGAACTTCGTCCGTCACATAACAAATCAGTTCCTTCTATTCAATACCCATACGTCAGGGTCACAAACAAGTGTTGGCGTTCTTCACATAGCCCAGCGCCCCTACCTTCAGAGAAGGCAAACTTTCGAGTCCCCGGAGGAGGCCGTCGGAATGCGTCCACCTCTAGACGTAAGTCCACAAAGCCAGCTCCCCAGGTAAGTATGGCCGTATCGCCTTACAAGCGCGGCGGCCCGAGGTGTCCTCCAGAATAACTAGAGAGGCGGCACTACTGGGCCGACCGCCGTAGCGCCCCTCTGCCCTGCCCCTCCTCTCCCCACCTCGTTGCACACCTTGGCACAAGTCCTCACACAGCTTTTTTATCCCCCGTTACTTTACCACCAGCTCAGGGGGCCTAGCGTGTCACGCGGGCACCGTATTTATACTCTCGCACCAACGGGAATCACACAGCACAACGTACGACACAGATTGCAGGTGGATCCGCCTTCGCCGAAAGGAGAGGTCCTTTGGGAAACGCAGCCCGCGCACGGGACTCGCTGCGAGCACGAATAATCCCCTCTTGCGTGAGCGGCGGTGAGGGGAATGCTGAGGCTCACGACTGGGCTCCGTCCCTCACGCACACCAAGCCACGAGTGAGGGGACTCACCACGACTCGCCGTTCCTCGTCTCGCCGAGCTGCTGGCCCCCCTCTCTCCCTCTCTCTCTCTCTCTCTTTCCTCCACTCGCGCGCACGCCTCCACCACTTCCACTACCCGTTCATTTCATCGCCGCAGCACTGCAGTTCCACAATGATCTTCCACAAAGCTCCGCAACCATAGGCGTGATACCAGCCAACCTAAGCCTCATCGCCACCACCTGTTTCCTCTTTTAATGAGTTCCCGCTTCCTATGTCCCTCGTTTTATTCCCGTCTTCTCCTCCTTCGGCCATCTATTCACTCATTTATGGCTCCTCAATACAAAGTACAAAGCCTGCCAACTTTTGTGCAGTGAACCTGGATGGTAAATAAAGGACTACACTAAACAACTCGATCATCTTAGCGCTCGTTTGTCAACTTCTAAACTACCTTTTGATCCTACAAAGCAAATCCCTATTCCTTGGCCCTTAAAACCTTCCCGACAAGCCTTTCCACCTGACGTCACATTCTTAAAAACTCCACATATCAACCCCCTTCCCCTTATCCACGCGCAAACATGCACTGGATCCACAAAGGTGCTACAAAAGTCGCGGGAAATTACACTAGATATCACCGAGGGTATGTAACAGGCCGAGTGGAGAGAGACAGGGATAAAGAGAGGGAGAAAGAGGAGGAGGGGAAGGGGAAGAGGAAGGGGAAGAGGAAGAGGAAGGGGTACGGGAAGGGGACGGGGGAGGGGGAAGATGAAGAGGCAGATATAGAGAGAGAAAGGTTCCGAAATTGTTGGTATCCAATTTCTTTTCGAACGCCATTTCTTTCAAAAGTGCGTAAACGTTACCCCTGACGAGACAAATAATTTTCACTCTGCGAAGGAATGTCCCAGTCAGTTCGCAAACACAAATGCACCAAATTTTCAGAATATGAATACGCACACACAGAAATCAAACTGTAATACGCCTATATCGTCACTCCGGCAAAAGCAACCGCCTATTTTGCGAACGTTCAATAACGAAAAATAAAAGAAACGGGTCGTCTCGATATCCGGACTTTCAGATTCCGACAAGGAAAAGGGAGAACATAAATCAACACCAAATTAGACGGACAGCGACCGAAGGTGATGCAAGAAATCAACAGTGATACGATTCACTGATAAAACAACTGCAACAAATAGCAATAATAATGAATATTGTGTCGATAATAATAATAATAACAACAAAAATAATGATGGTAATAGTATGTAGTAGTAGTAGTAGTAGTAGTAGTAGTAGTAGTAGTAGTAGTAGTAGCAGTAGTAATACTAATACTATTACTGATACTACAACTAATAATAATTATAACAATAACATTAACAATAACAATAATAATAATAATAATAATAATAATAATGAAATAATAATAATAAGCATTATCATCATTATTATCATTATTATCATTACAATAATAATAATCATCATCAACATAATCATTATCAATATCATTATCATCATCACTATTATCATTAAACTTATCACTATTACCATTATGCCAAACACTGACGTTCTGGAAATGAAGAAGAAACTGAACATTGAAAAAAAAAAACAAAGAGACCCCATGAACCAATGTGGCACTCGGACATGGAGTGCCACAAGGATTATCATCGTTATCACTAGTGGATGTGTGGCGGAGGGGGGGGGGGTGGAATGAGGGAAGTGGTGGAGTGTGATAGGAGTGGGGGTGGGGGTGGGGGTGGGAGTGGGAGTGGGGGGTGGGGATGAAGGCAGCACTCAACACAAGATAACGTACACGTGACCCCTTATGTAAGGCACTGAGCTCGTGTGTTGTGTCGCTTTATTGATGCTGGGAAGGGGAGGTTATTCACGACTGGAGAGGACGTCGGTGCTGTGAAGACGATACTTACCGTTGCTGATGGAGAATGTAGTAACGATGACGGAAATACTAGCACGGTGGCATTAGTAATCTGACATTATTTACAGCAACAACAAAAAATAATACATCATAACGATAAGACCAACGATCACGAAGAAGAAAAACACGATGGCAAGAATGAAGACATAAAAAAATAGCATCAAACTGATGAAATTATTGCCAACTCTACACCACATTAAGTCCTATGATCAGTGCCCTCCTATCAGCGCTATATGACCAAGACCCCCATGCCACCTAGTCCTATAACCACCACCACCTCCACCATCATCATAGGCCGTTTGTCGATCGTCATCATCATAATCATCATCAATTCATAAGCTCGCGCGACTAGTGTCCGCTCGCAACGTTCGGGTCTCAATTATTTCTCGGTCTCATCTCGTTAAAATTTGAAACTTATGTTCGCTGCCCCATGTAAATCTTAACAAAGCATTATTATGGATTGCTAATGACGTCAGGTGTGGTGGTAGTAACAATAATAATAATAATGCTGAGAAGGACTGTTCCTGGTGTTGCAAAATAGCAGTACGTCATTGGTATTGATAATAATAATTGTAATATCAAAAATAATAACAGTAGAAAAATATCATCACAATAATAATAATAATAATAATAATAATAATAATGAAATAATAATAATAATCATTATCATCATTATTATTATTATTCTCATTACAATAATAATCATTATTATCAACATAATCATTATCAATATCATTATTATCATCACTATTATCATTAACCTTATCAATATTACCTTTATGCCAAACACTGACGTTTTGGAAATGAAGAAGAAACTGAACATTGAAAAAAAAAAACAAAGAGACCCCATGAACCAATGTGGCACTCGGACATGGAGTGCCACAAGGATTATCATCGTTATCACTAGTGGAGGTGTGGCGGAGGGGGGGGGGCTTGACGTTATTTACAGCAACAACAAAAATAATACATCATACGATAATACCAAGTCGATCACGAGAAGAAAAACACGAGGCAAGCATGAAGACATAAAAAAATAGCATCAAACTGATGAAATTATTGCCAACTCTACACCACATTAAGTCCTATGATCAGTGCCCTCCTATCAGCGCTATATGACCAAGACCCCCATGCCACCTAGTCCTATAACCACCACCACCTCCACCATCATCATAGGCCGTTTGTCGATCGTCATCATCATAATCATCATCAATTCATAAGCTCGCGCGACTAGTGTCCGCTCGCAACGTTCGGGTCTCAATTATTTCTCGGTCTCATCTCGTTAAAATTTGAAACTTATGTTCGCTGCCCCATGTAAATCTTAACAAAGCATTATTATGGATTGCTAATGACGTCAGGTGTGGTGGTAGTAATAATAATAATGCTGAGAAGGACTGTTCCTGGTGTTGCAAAATAGCAGTACGTCATTGCTATTGATAATAATAATTGTAATATCAAAAGTAATAACAGTAGAAAAATATCATCACAATAATAATAATAATAATGATAATGATGATGATTTTGATGATAATACTTAGAGATAATGATAGATAATAATGTTAACATTATCTTTATTACTCCTATTATCATTGCTTTTACCATCCTCATCATCATCATCATAACTTATCATAATCAACGCCGCCGACCATTTACCGCCATCAATCTTCACTACAGGTAGAGCCCTTTTAAAATTGCAAATCGCTCTCGAACAAGCGTGTGTGTCGCAACAACGGCGTGAGCTTAGGCGGAACACATTCGTCCTCTTCCACATTCACGTGAGCGTGACATTCAACATCCACACCCATACACACAGCATACTCCAAATAGACAAGCACACGCGCACGCACACCTTATGCTCATTCTCTCCCTCTCCCCACCCCCTCTGTCTCTCCCTCTCCTTCTATCCACACCCGCCCACATCCCCTTCCATCTACACAGCCGCCCATTCCTATCCAACCCACACCCCCACATCCCCACATCCCTCGCCGTTCCGTCCCCCAATATCTCGGCGCGTCCGTTATCAACAGCACCCCTTTTCACATCCCTCGCAAAGGCAATGGCTGCGCTTATCAGTAAATCAATCGGTCACGCGACAAGATAATACGCTGATAATCTGCAGAGACCGATATTGCTCGATTGCGTGTGTCGGTCGGCGGCAAAGCGGATCGCCGTGAAACAATGCGGGGAAACGATAATTAAAAAGCAGGATAATGATGACCAAGCGAATGGGATTTTCCAAAAATAAGCACGCAAGATGGAGAAAAAAAAATAAAAAGAAAAAGAATCTAAACACGTAAAAAGCAAAACGAATGAACAATTAAAAAGAAGAAAGGGAGAAAGAAAAATAAAGAATATATATCTATATCTCTATCTATATATCTTTATATCTATCTATCTATCTATCTATCTATCTATATGTATATATATAAGTCCACGTGAAAGGTACAGAGCGGAAAATCACACGGAGTTACAGGGCTATTCCGAGCCGCAAAAGAAGGATGACTAATTATCCGAACGAGGTCATGGCTTACATCCCGTATCCTCCTCTGCCACTCGAGGTCCCTTGCCCGCATGCTCGGGGCAACAACAAGCCAAGCCACGGGGTCATTGCGGCGGACGGACGACCTCGGCCTCGGCGCACAGCTCAAGGGGGACTTTCCACCTTTCCACTTGACCGGCGCTTCCTGGCGGGGCGGCTGACCGGCCGGCTGGCGGCCGCGGGGCGGGAGGCGCTGCTCGGGCGTGGCGCGAATCTTCAAAGAGCCAGTGACGATGGGGAGGAGGTCGACCAGCACTGCGCGTCTTTACGCATACACACATATTCACAAAGGCAGATACAGACAGAAAGACAGGCAGACAGGCACACACACACAAACACATATAAACACACATAAACACACACACACACACACACACACACACACATATTATATATACATATACATATATACATATATATATATATATATATATATATATATATATATATATATATATATATATAAACCATATATATATATATATATATATATATATATATATATATATATATATATATATATATATACACACACACACACACACACACATATTATATATACATATACATATATATATATATATATATATATATATATATATATATATATAAACCATATATATATATATATATATATATATATATATATATATATATATATATATATATACATATATATATATATATATATATATATATATATATATATATATA